ATCAGTTTAACTGTCCTCCTTACTATTCAGTAGCAGAAATGTCTCTAATTTCTGGGCAAAAATGTAAATGAGGTTTGAACACTGCAGTAGCCCTGGAGACTTGTGCTTGTGGGGATGCCAGTGCCTTGTGAACTTACCAAGACGGGTGTGGTCCCTCCACTGGACCCTATGCCCCACCCCCACCTTGCATTAAATAGCCCCTCAACCTGAAACTAGGCAGGGTTAGAGCAGTTTCACTGTGAGTCCTGCCTACTATTTTCCAGATGAGCTTTTCCTCTGAATTATTAATTTATTGAATAAATAGATTTCGAGTGCTTCTTGTGTCTAACTTTCAATTCTGTCTCTCTTTAAATCAATGTAGTAGAAATTTCATAAAGTTTTTGGTAAGTGAATGCAGGTTTGCCTAGTTTCCATTAGAAATATAAATCCCCCAGTATTTTTACAGTTATTTATACATTTCACTGAAAATTTTAAATGGGTGGACGATTAAAGAAATGGATTTCTATCGACTTCGTTAGTAAGAAGTTACCAATACATATCTTGGGGATGTTGGATTCAATATATAAATATTAAATAGCATGCACAGGTTGAAAGTACAAATTGGGCCTTTGAACAAAAGATATATTTGCGTCTGCTCCATGAAGCCTTTTCAATACTCTTATCTAAGTTCCCATGACCCTTATTAGCTGCTTCTACACTTACAATTGGCCTGTGTGTGTCTGTTTGTGTGTGTGTGTGTAGTTTCACAGGTAGACTGTAATTACCTGGAGAATTGGAGCAGTGTCAATTTTTAATTTTCCACTAATTTTTAGCATCATACTATTCATCAGTATGAATTTGATATTCATTGATTCATTCATGTACTTGGTACTGATGACATTGAGATCGTTTAGCACCATGGGGGTACAAATGGAGGAGGGCCTCAATCTATCCAGAATAGATTTATTTTTGAAATTTGGTAATTAACAAGTTATAAAGAATTATTTGCTTGGAAACCAAAATGTTACTCTTTACCAACATGCAGGGAATTCTAAAACTATATACTTTGATCAATCATTATGTTTCTCACCTAAAAATTATGCCTGTTTATTTTTATGACTCCAATACATAAATAGCCTTGTATATTTTCATAACGTACTAAAAGTTTGCCATTAAAAGTTACCATTCTTTGATTAAAAGATGCCCCATAATCTACAGAACTCTAAAATATCTTACTTCTCTTTTGACAGTCCCTACTTTTATCAAATGTTTCTCGAAAAAAGTTTTCTACTGGGAAAATTATTAACTTGATGTCAGCAGATGCCCAGCAGCTCATGGACTTCACAGCAAATCTCAATCTCCTCTGGTCAGGCCCTTTTCAAATTCTGATGGCCATATATCTCCTCTGGCAAGAGCTGGGTTCAGCAGTATTAGCAGGGGTGGCTGTCCTTGTGTTCGTTATACCAATAAATGCATTAGCTGCAACTAAAGTAAAAAAGCTGAAGGTAAGAAAATGACTGTCTCATGTTACATATTTCAAACAGAAACTGAATTCTCTGACTTGAGTCAACAATAACATCTAGCTTATTCTATATATATGGAAAATAGAGGTTAAAATGGAAGCCATACAAATTTGCCATTCATGCATTCATTTAACCAGAAATGACTGGGCATCCAGCCGGTGCCAGGCACTGTTCTAGGCAGAGGAATACATCAGCAAGAACTGACAGGTTCCAGCTCTCATGGGACTAGTGGGGGACACAGGCATCAAGCAATTAAATAAATATATAACGTAATGCCTTGTGGCAATATGTATATGAAAAAAATAAGTAAGGATGAGATGATAGACAATCAAAGGGTGCCATTATGCATACAGGGGAAGGAAAGTACTCAGGAAGGAAATGGTGTATCAACAGGGTAAAGGAGTAATCCATGTGGATGTCTGAAGAAAAGATATATCAAGCAGAGGGAATGGTATGCCCGCAGCCTGAAGGTAGGGGTATGCCTGAATGTCTGCAGAGTGGACTGCATGCAGCAAGTGCACAGTAAATGCTTCACTGACTTAATTTTAATATTCTTCCTTTACATTCAGTCAATCAATCATCTTACTATCAACATATGTTTTGACCTCCCATCATGTATCAGACAGTGTGCACTATGATGTACTGTAGGAATGGAGAAACAGCATAGCTCACGGCATTGAAGAAAATCACATTGCGATAAAACATACGATTTGACATATTAAACTAACACACACAGACACAGAGGTATTGTTTATGAAACCATATTTCATCATTTTAAATGCATCAAATATTAGTAATATC